AAAAAAAAAAAAAAAAATACAGTCAGGTAGGAAAAATAAAAATTAAAACCCACAGCAGTGAATTCTCATTCCTTATCACACATCACTTATTTCACTCTTCAGTATGTTCTAAAATATTTCTGAAACAAACACAAGAAGTTATTTCCTCATTACTCAAGATCAAAAACCATTTCTTCAACTGACAGTCATCACTTACTAGATACCTCCAGACTTAACCAACTCCCTTTCATTAAAAAAATCATAGTAATTGGCCAGGCTCCGTGGCTCACATCTGTAATCCCAGCACTTTGGGAAGTCGAGGCAGGTGGATCGTTTGACGTCAGGAATTCAAGACCAGCCTGGCCAACATGGTGAAACCCCGTCTCTGGTAAAAATGCACAATTAGCCGGACATGGTGGCATGCCTGTAATCCCAGCTATTCGGGAGACTGAGGCAGGAGAAATGCTTGAACCCAGGAGGCAAAGGTTGCAGTGAGCCAAGATCGCACCATTGCACTCCAGCCTAGGCAACAAGAGCAAACCCCAAAATAAAAAATTAGCTGGGTGGTAGTGGAGCACACCTGTAATCCCGGCTACCCAGGAGGATAAAGCAGGAGAATCACTTGAGCCTAGGAGACAGAGGATGGGGTGAGCTGAGATCGCCCAGTCTGGGTGACAAAGTAAAACCCTAACTCAAAAATTTATATTATAAAAATAATAATAAAACAAGGCTAGGTGGGGTGGCTCACACCTGTAATCCCAGCACTTTGGGAGACCGAAGTGGGTGGATCACCTGAGGACGTCACTCTGCATTTTTTGGGCATTCCTATAAGCACAAATAACCTTCAATTCAAAGCCCAACCAAGCGAAATATGCCATCTCAAGGTGATAGAGAGGAATAAGGACTTATTGGTACACAGTTCACAAGCATACCAACTAGAGCACGCACATGTGTGTTTGCACAACACAAATATAAACACTCAATGCTTAGGTGGCAAAAGGTAGAAAAACATCAAAAGCAGCAAAATCATGTTGTGTTAGTAAATTACTCTTCAAATTAAAGACAAGTGATTTTCCAACAGAGCTTAAGAATCCTAACATCTGGCCAGACACCTGGCTCACACTTCTAGCACTTTGGTAGGCCGGGGGGAAGAAGCACTTGAGGGCAGGAGTTCAAGACCAACCTGGGCGCACAGGAAGACTCTACCT